GTTGCCCATTACCTGTTGGCTCAGCCACTGTCACATGAACCTCACCAGGGCGTTCAGCACTTGCTGTACCAAGAGGCAGTTGTTCTGCACACTAAGAGCTAGCTAGCAAGTCTCTTGCTGAAGATAAATGTATCTAAAATGCATAATGTATTTCAGCATGGACAGCATTGCTCAGTAAGAAGGAACAAGTGCCTTTAAAGGGACAGTCAAGGTAAGGAGCCTGCAGACAACCACTCCTAAGCTGGTTTCCCTATGAGCCGCCAGCTTTTAGAGGCACAAAACCTCCCTGTACATCCTGCTTGGATTTAGGAGAGACCTTCACAGCTCACAACCACTCCTCAGGCCAAGATGCCCAAGCACTTCCCAGCCTTACTGTGGCACAATTCCAGTGTCAGAACGGAGGTGCTGGGCAGGGGCGGAGCGGCAGCGCTGGGCCGCTCGCTGCTGGCACCGACACGTGCCAGACCCACCTGCCACCCTCACACCATCTGCTCGTCCTCATTTCCCACCCAACTTGGGCTGCTCCACGCCAGAGGGAGAGACACAGCAAGGTGAGCAGTCCCCCAGCGAGCTCCTGAAGCCAGAGCACAGCAGCCCCGAGCCTCCGCGGATGCTGCTGCGAACACACCATCTGCCGTTGCTTCCTCTGCTGGCAGCAGCCCCAGGGGACAGGTGTGGTGGCACAGGGCACCCAGACCACAGCAGGACGGTGCCAGTCGGAGGCTTTATGCTGAATAAAGCTTTTCCAGGGTCACGTTGCTGAGACAATCCCTTAACTCCCCCCCCTCCAGTTGCCGTGATGCTACCCGGGCGGCAATCGATGCCGTTCCGACACGCGGTGCCCCTCACCAGCAACCATCTGACAAAGAAGTTGGGTATCTCCACTTTGTAGAGGTGTTCTCTTAAAGAAATGCCTTTATTTTATCCTGAAGGGGTGTCTGGATCATGAGGACAGAGATAGGAAACCCTCCTCCACCAAAACACTCCTTCACGCCTGGCGATTTGCTTTGTCATGCCACTTCAGATGCATGCACAGCAGCTCCAGCTAGAAAATTCAAGCAGATCTCCTGGGTAACCACCTACAAACTGCACAGCAATACCTTAAAATTAAAAAAGAAATCAACCTATTTTCTGGTAGCACAGGCCAAGGAACAAAACACCAGCAAATTCATGTCCGTGCCCTGGCAGGCTGCTCGGGCTCTCTCTCCATTTTGGGTCATACCAGGCAGCTTCAAATTACATCTCATCTGATCTGCTGCAAGGAAACATCAGCTCACCAGGACACAAAGCAGGGGAAAGGAGAGGGGGAAAGAGCTCAGACCCAGGAAAAGGGAGCTGTTCTGTGCTGCTCAGTGTGGTGCCATCAAGGCCACCCTCAGGGCTGAGAGGGGACAAGGAGCAGGTGCCAGGATCTGGGTGCTGGTCCCTGCCAGCCGGGAGCTGCTGGGACAAACCTCCCTGCATTATGGATGGAGAACAAAGAGAGGGGATGCGGGGCTCCTGGAAAAGGAGACCTCCAGCTCCTCCACGCTCCTTCCACACCCCCTGCATCCACCGAGCCCTCAGGTGCCCTGCACCCAGGAGGGCCCAGGCCCTGCAGATGCTCCTCTGGACCATGAGGAATAAAAGCCCACCCGAGGGCAGCACCAGCCACACCAGCCACCATCATCACCCCCCCACACCCCGAGCAGAGAGGGGGCCACCCCAGGCCTAGCAGGGGGGTCTCCACGCTGGGTTATCCCTCTCTGGGGCAGGTGTGAGGGAAGACCCCCAGGCCTGACTGGAAACCCCCCAGGCCTAACTGGAGACTCCCCAGGCCTGGCTGAGACCCCCTCAGGCATTCCCTGAGATCCCCCCAGGCCTGACAGAGACCCCCCCAAGGCCTGACCAGAGACACCCCCACGCCTGTCTGAGACCCCCAAGGCCTGAACAGAGACCCCCCCAAAGGCCTGACCAGAGACCCCCTCAGACCTGGCTGAGACCCCCAAGG